TGGCTTCAGAATTCTGAGGAATTTTTGTCGTGCTTTCTATAATTTGACAATTCTTTGAAAAAACAATAAAAAGCATGTTATTGTCAATGTTCTTCGGTTTTTCATACACACATAAATACACACACACACACACACACACACATATATGCTTTTCTAGACTAACATTAGGCAAAATACTTTTCTAGGTATACATTTGTAAATTATTCATATACATACATTACAGAAAACCCAGTAAGAAATAGAAAATGTTTCATACACCACCAGTTTGCTTTCTGCTAGAACACACCAAGGCCCCTCTCGTGAATCTACAGAGATGAAGGCTTCTGTCCTTTCACCTAGTACCTCACATTCCACAAAGTTGAAAGAAAAATCTGCTTGAGCTTCTTCTTTCCCCAAATCAGGATGAATGGGTGGGTGGAAGGACAGCTGAATACAGTAGCTTAGCAGAACATGAAGATAGGTTTGTTTTCCAGTCTCTCAAAATTCCAAACTGATAGCAATATGACCAGAAAATAAATGGCACATACCAGGAGAAAGGAGATCACAGTTTGCAAAGCTTTTATGTGGACCTTGGTGCTGGGATCTTGAGATCCTTTGCCATGGACGTGCATCTTCTTTAGATGTTTACACAGAGAACAGATTAACAGCAGAAAAGATATCAGGGTCAGAGTGATGGGTACAAAGTTTGCTAGCATGGTTACAGTCATATTTGAAAAGTACATTGCACTCTTCAATTTGATCTTCCATGTCATGTTTCCTTCATATTCTTTTGTCTGTACAATCTGATTCATGTTTATCACAAAAAGATAACAAGCCAAAAATAGCAAAGACCCCAACAGCATCACCAGAATGACATTCTTAACTCTCCTCTTTAAGTGAAGAAAAATCAGGTTGGAGAAAGTGGCAATCTTGAGAAAATAAAATATGCTGAGGCTAGTAGAAAGCCAGCTGCTGAAATGGTTGGTCACTACCCAGACGTTATAAGCAGTACTTCTTACTTCTACACTATAAAAAGCTAGATTAAACTCAGTTGCACACCAATGTAGTAATAATACCCAGAGAAAACCAACTCTGAACACAGCCAGAGCAGTGAGAATTTGGTCAGCAAACGAGATCTTTTGTCTCTTGACCCACTCAATGGAATTTACCAATGCTATGAAGCCATTAGCAAAATTTCCAATAAAAAATATAACCATTATTAGAATGGAAAAAGTGATAGACAGAAAAGTTATCATGTCTGAACAGATAGAAAGAAATTTTTTAAATGCTGGTATAACATCACAGGTTGTGATTGCTTGAATATCCTGACCTTACATTCTATATGTACCTGATTTGTGTATCTGCTGTGCCATTCTTTTTACTTTTAATTGTCGTGACCACTGTAAAGCCAGAAATCACCATAGCATGCTAACGGATGAGTTCAATGCTCTCTTTATGGAAAACATTCTTCTTTTCAAAACAACTCAAATTAACTCATTCACTCATGTCTGTTCTTGTTATAGGCTGGAATTATTCATACTGAAGTTGACATGAAACCTGAATTCTTATTTGCTAGTATGCAAACAAGGACATATTAACTTTCAGTGTTTGCAATTTTTCCTTCTGTAACCTCTCCATTATCTGTCTTTAGCAACTTTGGTGGCTAGGGAAGTTTTATAACCCAATACAGAGATCATATATTAAATATCTAAATTCTTAAAGGGAGCTTGGTCATAACTAAGATCATGACCTATACAGTCTTTTTTAAACGCCAGATATAAATACACAGAATTCAACCTTCTTTTATCAAAAGAATCTAAGATTTACTTGAGAACCACAGGCAGGCCAGTACTCCATAAGATCTGGTTGCTGCTAATACTTTTGTGTGACTTCATTATTCACAAGCTCATAAATAAATGCACAAACACACACATGTGCCCACCACCTATGAATGGAATGAATTATTTTCTTGTAATTTCCAAATTATAAAATGAGTTTCCAGGGGGTTGTCCTGCTGAAATTAGTCCTATTTTCCCACTCATGGTTTTCAGCCCATGAACAATATTTATTTATCAAACACATCTCTAATTATTAGGTCTTTCGTAAAGTTTATTTCAAGTCTAAAGTTTAAATATTTATTATTTAATTAAAATATTCAGCAATTTTATAAGTATTCGTGGGTACCAGGCCCTTTGACATATAATCTTGCAGTAACCTCCCATCACAGGACGACTGACTACTTTTCCCCTGAACTTGAAGTTCAATAATTTAGCTTGCTTTGATGAACAGAAAATTAATATACCTTGCATAGAGATTTGAGATGGCTTCCATACTGGGGTTCTTCCTCTTTCTCTTTAGGATGAGAATATCTCCTAGCTAGTACACTGTTCCCAGAAGGAGAATGAGAAACTAATGAAGGCAGATTGCCCCCACCTGATCCAGACTAAATTGGCCAAACACTAACGACCTCCAAGATGCAGAATTTGGCCCACCACAAATCCCCAGAGACATCCACCAAACCCGGCTTAGAAAAATGAAACCTAAAGATATAATATATAAATATATGATGTAGTTTTGGAGGGTTTCTCTTGCAGAAAAACATAACTGAGAAAAGAACTCTGCTAAACTAAGAGTGTGTAAAATATGTACAACCTTGCTGTGTCAGGAATTCAGGAGCCAAAAGGAAAAAATCGATGGGGAATGGCAAAGGTTTATTCCTATGAGGTGGATAATTAAGGCTAGAAAAAATCCTTTGAAAAAATCTGGAGGTGACAGATAACATCATCTGAAATTTCCTCATGTTGCAACTAAATAAGAAAGTTCTTACTTCAACTCTCTTAGAGTTGCATAAGAATGTATACAAATAGTTTATTTTTCCTGCAGTATATAATGAGTAATAATAAATTTATATGAGATATTTCTCCTAATTTAAAATTTTTATGTTAAAATAATAACGCACACTTAGAAATGAGCCAAAACAAAAATGGGAAATACCGCAATGTATCATAAGCACTCAAGTAACCATGATGCCAGGCAAGAAAAGGAACACCAAAAACAGCCTAAGTCCACCTCCATGCCACTTTCCAGACCCATAACCCCTTGTTCACATCTCTGGAGATAAGCAATATCCATAATTTATGATGACCATTTCCTTGATTTTCCTTATACTTTACCAATTAGGTATGCAACCCTAAACTGCACAGCTTGGTCTGGCCTGCTTTCAACTGTGTGTCGGTACAATCCTTCATGCTCTTCTTGGTTGTGGTTTCTTGGTCTCAACATTGTGTTTCTGAAATTTAGTCACAGAGTTGCATGTACATATGATTTTTTTTTCACTTCTCTATGTTGTTCTGTTCTTTGGATTTCCTGTAATGATTGATCAATCCTTAATATATATTTGGCCAGCTTTTTTATGAACAGTTATGAATAATTCTACTAGAGCATTCTCTCTTATATCATTTGATACAATTCCTTTGTATATATACCTTTAGATAGAATTACAGGGTCATTGTTCAAAATCTCCTCATAGATATAGAACAGTTCAAAAAACACTTTAAGTAAATTTACCCCTGTCACCTCTGCCTCCAGTCTATTTTTTTTGCCATTTGCCTATATATTATCAATTATGTAATTACCACAATAAGACATTATTTTTGACAGTAAACATTCATTTATAATTATGCACATATTTACCAAATCAGTCTCCAATCTTGGATTTTACTTCTTTTCAGTTTTTACAGTATAATGGTTTCTAAGAGGGAATCTTCTAGTCAGAAGACAGGAAACCAGATACTCTGCTGGTTAGCATATAGCTATGATGTGAGACTGCATTTTACAACTACTGCCTGCCTCAGTATAATTACCTATAAAAAGCACATGATAGATTGGGCATGGTGGCCCAGGCCTGTAATTCCAGCATTTGGGGAGGCCAAGGCAGGTGGATCACCTGAGGTCAGGAGTTTGAAACCGGCATGGCCAACACGGTGAAACCCTGCCACCACTAAAAATACAAAAATTAGCCAGGTGTGATCACGCACACCTATAATCCCAGCTACTCAGTTGACTGTGGCAGGAGAATCATTTGAACCCAGGAGATGGAGGTTGTAATTGGTCAAGATCGTGCCACTGCACTCCAGCAGGGAGACAGAACAACACCCTGTCTCAAAAAAAACAACAAAGAAAGGAGATGAAAATAAAATTGTCTTTGGTTAATTTTGTTAGGAGTTAATCTATTCTTTATATAACTACTTTCAATTTTACCTGTTTGCTATAGGCAGGAACCAAAGATTCTTAATTATTGATTTGATCCCATTTTACTTGATATTTAAGATACCAGTGAGAACTTACATTTTTTTTTTCTTCCTCTACGACAGAGTCTCCCTCTGTTACCCAAGTTGGAGTGCAGTGGCAGGATCCTAGCCCACTACAGCCTTGAATGCCTGGGCTCAAGCAATCCTCCTGCCTTAACTTCCCAAGTGTTTGGAACTATAGGCATGCACAACCATGCCAGCTAATGTTTTAATTTTTTGTATAGATGGAGTCTCCATATGCTGCACAGGGAATTACTGCTCTCAAGGGATCCTCCCACCTTGATCTCCCAAAATACTAAGACTACAGGCATGAGTCCTCACATCCAGCCTGCAGTGGGAGTGCTTGAAGGTCAGATGCTACTTAGAGCTTCGGCTCATGTCCATCCCAAGGTGGATCTAATCAGTTTGCAGTTATTACTTCTTCCTGAATGTGTAATTGAAACCTGTAGAGTAAAGGTCATTATTATAGCAGGACCAAGGAGAAGCCTCTCAAATTCTCCTCTACTGGCAACGCAATGTATAAAATATAATAACTGCATTCCCTAAGGAATGGAATTGGTCACTGCCATGACAAAACACTTGCAAGTTACAGGGGACAGTAGTCTCTTTAGATCTCTATTCACTTAACCTATCTGGCCTCTACCAAAACCAGATGAATTATAGAATGAATGCAGACTACCATAAACTTAAATCAACACTCACAAATTCTTTCCAGGATTTGCTATCTTCACTGAGCAGAGCAGAGCTTCTGGTACTTTTAATGTGGCTCGTGATTTGGTCAATATTTCTTAATCTACACCCATTAAGAGGGAAAATCAAAACAATTTGCTTTGTATTGTAAGAATAATAGCACTGCTTCACTGTTTTATGTCAGGACTATGTCACTTCTGTTCTCAGTTTAATTTACATTTTTTAAAACATCGTGCTAATTTAATATATTAATAATATTACAGACCGGGCCCTGTGGCACATGACTGTAATCCCAGCACTTTTGAGGCCAAAACAGACACATCACTTCAACCTAGGAGTTTGAAATCAGCCTGGGTAACATGGTAAAATCCTACCCCAACAGAAAATAAAAAATTAGCCAGGCGTGAGATTGTTCCCCTGCAGTCCCAGCTGCTAGCAATGCCGAGGTGGGAGAATCACTTGAGCCCAGAAGGTTGAGGCTGTAATGAGCTGTGATCTTGCCACTGCACTCCAGTCTCAGGGACACAGTGAGAACCTGTTCAAAATAATAGCAATAAGAATAATAATTAATAATAATAATATATTCGTTGGTACAATAATCAGGAAGTGGCAAGTTTCTTAAATATAGTAAAATACCCTAATGTTGAATGGAAGGAAAATACCAGAACAAAAGAAATAAACCTGAGAAGATTCAGGGACCTACAACATAGGTGATGTTTTAAAGCGTTCAGTGTCCCCAGTCCACACGTCGAAACAATCTTTATTACAGTAAACGACATTTTGCTCTATATATTTCCTATCACTACAAAAGAGACACAATATTTTGGGGGCCTATTGGGATTTTGGAGCCAACATATTCCACATTTGAAAATATTGCTCTGACTCATTAATGAAGTTTCCAAAGGCTACTGGTCTCAAGTGGAACCCAGAACAAAAGAGGGCTCTACAGAAGATACAGGCTCTGGTCCAAGCAGATTTTGTGATGAGTTTACTTTTCCTTTTTTAATTGGTTTACCACATCAACTTATCCGTTTTACCCACCCATTTATTTGTTCATTAAAACATCATTTTTGACCATCTACACTTGGTACTGGGTTCTAGAACCTGTGAGTCAACAGAAAGCAAGGCAGACATGATCTGCTTTTTTACAATTCTTACATTGCACTGAGGAAGATATATGATAAAAAAATACATAAATCAGCTGTGGGGATGATTTATCTTGAGGTTTAAATAACATCGTTAAAATTTCATAATACAAAAAACTAATACATTCATATACAATTTAGCTGTGAACAAGACTGTACATTTCTTTCTTATAATAGAACTTTTTATTAGTGAATATGTCAAAACACTTTCATTACTGACAACAAAATTATAACGTTAAGGCACACTCCATAATTAATACATAATTTCAAAGATACTATTTTAACATTTACAGTTTCACTGAATTATTTCCCATCATTGTTATACTACTTTTACACTGATAGTTTTTTTTTTTTTAGAGAAGAGATTTGAGTTCTCCTATCTGAAGTTTAGAAGGAATTTTATAAATGGAAGATAAGGATACATTTAGCAAATCGGGGGCTTAGAAGTGCTTTAGAAAACATACTAAAACAATTTGCATCAGATCTCAATTCAAAAACAGTTTTCCTTTAATTCAAAAGCTGGAAGAAATGACGTTTCTAACTGCATATGGAAAATGATAATAGCAATCAAGATCATGATCATGAATTTTCATCCCTTTATTAACAAAGAGATTTTTTTCTAAGCTATTCACATACTTGTTATTAAATCTAATATTCCTCATTACTGTTTACGGTAGACATAGACGAAATTTACTCTACATATGCTTGCCACTCGAAGTTTTTTGTGGGCATTGTTTTCCATCAATAATTCTGATTGCTTTTTACTAAATAAAACAGGAATTCATAATGTAATAAAACCTCAAAGATGCATTCTCATTATTGATTTAGAATTGAATGACCTTACCATCCAAAAAGTGAGATGTTCTAACAACAAATTCTAAGCACACTGTGGTGTATTTGTGTGGATCAAATAACAATAGAAAACAGCAATATTTTTCCTGAGATAAGCTCTTAGTTCTTAATAATTATAAATAGACATTGTAAATTCTACAAATTAAATATAAAATACATGAATGAAAACCATGGCTTCGGAATTCTGAGTAATTTTTGTCATATTTTGTATAATTTGGCAGTTCATGTGAAAAAAGAAAAAAGCGTATGTTATTGTCAATGTTCTTAAGTTTTTCATATAAATTACACACACACACGTATACTTCTTTTGACTAATTTTAGGTAAAAGACTTTTCTAGGTATATGTTTGGAAATTACTCATACACATACATTACAGAAAACACAGTAAGAAATAGAAAATGTTTCATACACCACCAGTTTGTTTTCTGCTAGAAGACACACAATGCCCCGCTCGTGAATCTACAGAGATAAAGGCTTCTGTCCTTTCACCCAGTACCTCACGTTCCACAAAACTGAAAGAAAAGTCTGCTTTAGCTTCTTGTTTCCCCAAATCACGATGAATGGGTGGGCTGAAGGATAGCTGAATCTAATAGCTTGGCAGAACATCAAGACAGGTTTGTTTCCCAGACTCTCAAAACTCCAAATTGATATAATTACAGACACAAAGTAAAGGACACATAACAAGAGGAAGGAGATCACAATTTGCAAAGCTTTTATGTGGACCTTGGTGCTGGGATCTTGAGATCCTTTGCCATGGAGCTGCATCTTCTTCAAATGTTTACACAGAGAACAGATTAACAGCAGAAAAGATATCAGGGTCAGAGTGAAAGGTACTAAGTTCTGTAGCGTGGTTACAGTCATACCTGGATGGTAAATCGCATTCCTCAACATGTACTTCCAAGTCATGTTTTCTTCATATTCTTTTGTCCGTACAATCTCATTCATGTTTACCATAAAAAGATGACAAGCCAAAACCAGCAAAGGCCCCAACAGCATCACCAGAATGACATTCTTAACTCTCCTCTTTAAGTGAAGAAAAATAAGGTTGGAGAAATTGGCAATCTTGAGCAAATAAAATATGCTGAGACTAGTAGCAAGCCAGTTGTTGAAATGGTTGGTTACTGCCCAGAAATTATAAGTGGTAGTTCTTACTTCTACACTATAAAACGCTGGATTCAACACAGTTGCATACCAATTTAATAATAATACCCAGAGCAAACCAACTCTGGAAACCGCCAGAGCAGTGAGAATTTGGTCAGCAAAGGAGATCTTTTGTCTCTTGACCCACTCAGTGGAATTTACCAATGCTATGAAGCCATTAGCAAAATTTCCAATAACAAATGTAACCACTACTAGACAGGAAAAAATGATGGGTAGAAAAGTTATCATGTCAGAAAAAACAAAAAGAAAATTTTTAAATGCTGATGTTGTGTCTAGATTGGTTCCTGCAGGTGGGTTCGTGGTCTCACTGACTTCCAGAATGAAGCCAGGGACCTTTGCAGTGAGTGTTACAGTTCTTAAAGATGGCAGAGACCCAACGACTGAGTGGTAGCCAGGTTTCAGCTCTTAAAAATACCATGAACCCAAAGACTGAGCGGTAGCACGGTTTATTGTGAAGAACAACAGGATAATACTTCCACAGCATTGAGTGGGCTGTTGCTGCGGGCTGGAACGGCCAGCTTTTATTCTCTTATTTGTCCCTTCCCATGTTCAGTTTTTGTCCTATCAGAGTGCCCTTTTTTCAGTCGTCCCTGTGATTGGCTACTTTTTGGATCCTGTTGATTGGTGCATTTTACAGAGCACTGATTGGAGCATTTTAGGGAGCACTGATTGGTGCCTTTTACAGAGGATTGATTGGTGCATTTTACAATCCTCTGGCTAGCCACAGAGTGCTGATTGGTGCATTTTACAATCCCTATGCTGGCTACAAATAGTTCTCCAAATCCCCACTGGACCCAGGAAGTCCAGCTGGCTTCACCTCTCAATGAAATATGACTGGTTGTGATTGCTTGAATATCCTGACCTTAAATTCTATATGCAGCTAATTTGTGAATGTGCTTGCTCATTCTTTTTACTTTTAAATGTTGTGACCACTGTCAAGCCAGAAATCACCATGGCATGTTAATTGATGAGTTCAATGATCTCTTTATGGAAAACATTCTTATTTTCAAACAACTCAAATTAACTCATTCATTCATTGTCTGTTCTTTTTGTAGCCTGGAATTATTCCTACTGAAATTGACAGGAAACCTGAATCCTCATTTGCTAGTACACAAATAGGAGCATATTCTCTTTCAGTGTTTGCAGTTTTTCCTTGTGTAAGCTATCCATCTTTTGTCTTTAACGACTTCATTTCTTAGGGAAGTTTTATAACTCAATACATACTTCATGTAGTAAATGTCTAAATTCTTAAAGGGAGCTTGTTCTTAACTTAAGATTATAACCTATATTGACGTTTTAAATGCCAGGTTTAAATACACAGAATCCAAACTGCTTTTAGCAAAAGCATCTAAGATTTTCTTGAGAACCACAGGCAGGCCAGTACTCCATAAGATCTGGTTGCTGCTAATACTTTTGTATAGCTTCATTAGTCACAAGCTCATAAATACACACACATATGCACGCATGGGCATACCGCTTATGAAGGGAACAAATTATTTTCTTGTAATTTCCAAAATAAAAAATGAGTTTCCAAGAGGTTATCCAGATGAAATTAGTCCTATTCTCACACTCAGAGTTTTCAACCCATTAATCATATTTATTTATCAAACATATATCTAATTCTTAGAACTTTGGTAAAGTTTCTCTGAAGTCTAATGTTTAAATATTTATTATTATATAAAATATTTAGCAATTTTATAAGAATTCCTGAGTACCGGGCTCTTTGATAGATAATCTCGCAGCATACTCCCATTGCAGGAAGACTGACTACCTTGCGCCTGAACTTGGAGTTCAACCATTTCACTTACTTTCATAAACAGAAAATTACTGTACTTTGCATGGAGATTTGAGATGGCTTCCGTAATGGGGATTCTTCCTCTTTCCATTTACCATGAGAACACCTAGAAAGCACATTGTTCCCAGAAGGAGAATGAGAAACTAATGAAGTCAGGTTGCCGCCAGCTGATCACACTAAATTGGCCAAACTCTATCTCCAAGAAGCCGAATTTGACCCGTCTCAAATCACCAGAGCCATCCACCAAACCCAGCTTAGAAAAATGAAATCCAGGCCAGGCGCGGGAGAGGGTAAGGAGGGCAGATCACGAAGTCAAGAGATTGAGACCATTCTGGCCAACATGGTGAAACCCCCGTCCCTACTAAAAATACAAAAAATAGGCGGGCTTGGTGGCATGTGCCTGTAGTCCCAGCTAGTTGGGAGGCTGAGGCAGGAGAATCGCTTGAACCCAGGAGGCAGAGGTTGCAGTCAGCCAAGATCGTGCCACTGCCCTCCAGCCTGGGCTAGAGAGTGAGACTCCATCTCAAAAAACAGAACACACACACACACACACACACACACACACACTAATGAAATCCAAAGACATGTGAGATATATATATCTAATGTAATTTTAGAGGGTTATCTCCTACAGAAAAACATAACTGATAAAAGAACTCTGCTAAACCGAGAGTTTGAGAAATATGTACATCTTTATTGTGTCAGGAATCAGGAGCAAAAAGTAAAAATAGATGTGGAATGGCAAAGGTTTTTCCTGTGAAGTGGACAATTAAGGCTAGAAGAAATCCTTTGGAAACATCTGTCCTTGACAGATAACATCATCACAAATTTCCTCATGGTGCAACTAAATAAGAAAATTCCTATTTCAACTATCTTAGAGTTGTATAAGAATGTATATACAGCTAATTGATTTTTCCCTTCAGTATATAATGAGATGAGTAATAATAATTTCTATGAGACATTTCTCCTGATTAAAACTTATATGTTAAAATTGTAATGCACTCTTAGAAATAAACCAAAACAAAAATTGGAAATACCGGAATGTATCAGAAACGGTCAAGTAACGCTTATACAGGGCAAAAGAGGGAACATCGAAAACAGCCTAGGTCCATCTCCATACCATTCTTCTGATATGAAAATGGTAATGATTTTCTTCTTTTTGTAACACTTTGGTCAAAGAAGAGAATAAAAGCAAGGTCTAGGCATCCTCCTGCAACTTGGAAGAAATTGAAAATGGATTTGATGTGATAGCATTTTTGGATAGTAGCTTTTCTGTTTCTGGATCATCATCGCAAACTCTCCTCACAGAGAAATTCAGTGAGAAGTACTGGATCTCAAAATGTCACTTCCATTAATAAGACAAAGTATCTCAACAACAGCTCCACCATTCTATTCCATGATTTTAATTTTACGCTGTTTTTATCAGCAGAAATCAAGACTTCTTAGTTTACAACAATCTTTAAAAGATCAAATAGTGAAACAGTACTTACAAGTTTATGAAAAACTGAAGGACGTCTGATACAAGTAGACTTGAAGTCCCATGGAAATAAAACTGAATCTAGTGCTTCTATGGAATTCCACCATTTAATCCCTATCTGTGAATATAGTTTTGGTTATAGAACTACAACCTTTGAAATCCATCATCACTCACTCAAGTATGACAGAAGATCTGAGGTCTTACCTCTGTTTGACAATTTGGTCCTAAAAACTCGCTCTTTAGAAATAAAACCTTGCTCATAAAAATGTGTTATTTGCTTTATCTTTCTCATTAGGGAGTTCTATTTACACTAAAATCTAAATTGTTTCTATTGTGATCTTAGTGCAATGAGGATTCATTTAAGGTCGTCCATAAATAATTATTTGCTTAGGCAATGTATTCTAAAATAATCTACACTTAATTTTTAAACCTAAATGTATTGAACTCGACTTGAACTTTGCTGTTTACTATTGTAACTTTCTCACAATGATGATCTTTTTAAAATTCCTTATTTTCCATATTATGTATTTAAATATTTCAAAAACAAATCATTCCATGAGATAGATGAAGATATACATGATGATGATGACAATGATGATGGCAGGTGAAAGGGAGAATGCTATTTGATAAATGTGATTTCAGTCTTGTTTCTAAGTGCTGGAGTTCAGGGTGATGAGAGAACACTATTATTCCTCCTCATGGCCTCATGATGCTTCTGTAATTCTCAGCATCAGGCCTAGACAAATACCCTCACATGGTATTTCATCAAGAATA